TTCATCTCTGTTTAATGTCCTGTGGTCTAGTCCTCTTCTTATTTTTCAAAAGTAAAATCAAGATCACACAAATAGGTATGTGGAAGAATAGGCAATGAGAGAGAGGAACTCCAGTGTCCCTATGTCCATGAATGATTCTGGTTCCTTCTGGCACTACTCAGGAGCAGCTAACTCACCTTAACTGGTTTTGTGTCATTTTGTCCTCTCTTTGTACTAGAAGGTAATTTGACCGCTTGAGAGGTGCTTGCCTGGGGTGGAGCCTGGCATACTCCACCCGAACATACTTTTTCCCCCTCATGTTCTGAGGGAAAAATTCACATTTTAGACTTTTGGGTTGATTTCATTTTGAAGTTAAACATATAATTAATTTTTATGGACTCTCAGCAAACAATCATCAGTTGGATTCTCAACAGCTTTAATACACTGTCACATTTCAAACAGGCTTTAACTTCTCCCCCCACCTCCCTTTTTATCCAGATTACAGAAGTCAGAACCCAAATTGCCTTTCTGCCTTTTCATGTAGAGGATAATATTTGTCAATATTAAATTTAATTTGAGCTAAGAGTGCTTGCTAACAGCAAGAATGAGAAGTTTGTTGAGCTTTATGTCATCTGTGTGTTCATGACAGCATTAGCAAATCTAATGACTTCAGCAACATGTCTGGTCATCTTTGTTTATTAAAAACATAAAAAAAAACTCTTGAAATTTAACTGTTTTATCCAACTATCTTGTTTCCTGTACTATTTAAATGAAAGAATTTGCAACAAAATACAAACCCAATGGGTCCACATTAAGAGGTCTTCATCAACAACAGACATTTATTGAGCGCCTATTGTGTGCAAGGCACTGTACTAGACATAAAACTACAAAGACAAAGGAGAAACAGTTCCTTGCTCTCAGTGAGCTTACAATCTAATTAAACTCACAGGACACACACATTAAAAAGACAAGGGACAATCCAAGGTAGCATATAATATTAGGGCACTGAGGAGACACAAACAGGGTTGCAGACTTTTTTTTTTTCATTTCTATGGTGGTTTAATACCCTGAGTAGGTGGGGTTGAGTGAGCCAGAATAAAGGGGGTTACTACTCATTTTCGAAACCAGGTATAACTCCCTTACATCCTTCCATTCCAAATTGCCTCCTGGCATAAACTAGAATAGGGGTCACTCGTGATTTTTCCCCTCAAAAGGTTCTAATATTACACTTCTATTTGAGTTGACTTTTTGATAGAGTGACCCACTGTCTTGGTATGCCAAAGGCTATTCAAATTTAGCACTCAAAGTCCACGTGTTGAAACTTTCCCCGTGGTCCCAGGGAAATCAGAATGATACTTCTGATGCACCATGTGTCATAGCCAGATTTCGCTCTCCCACCTACTATACAGTCATTGCAGGACCTATCTGAAATCTGTTCCCCAGGTAGGTCCTTAAGTTAAAAAAGTTGGAAGAAAGAGCTTTATATCTCCCAAAGACTGCTTGTCTAAGAACACACTGTGGACAAAAGGAGATAATCAGGAGACATGACAACAAAAAGGCAGAATGACGTTCAAGAGAGAAGCCACAGGATGGAAGATTGGGTCAGGTATAAAATGTAGGAATATTAACATCATCTACCAAAATAGCAGAGAATAAGCACACAGATCATTTTCTGTATTCTATTAAAGAATCCAAACCATAATCTCTACGGAACCTGGAGAATATTTCTGGAAGGAAACATTTGTTAAGTATTTCAAATGCATATATGCATTCAAATAACACTTTCTTAATTGTAGCAGAATTTCAACCTTTTCCTCCCAGCATGCATTTAGCTTCTAAATCAATCGTTTTGATTATTTTAGCAGAATATCTTTTTCAAAATAAGATCATATACTTCCATATTAATAGAATTTAAATTTATCAGTAAAACAGGGAACCTTAGAAGTATTGTTTGGAAACTAATTCAAAGATCTGGTAACAACTTAAGGATTCCAAGAGACCACACACAAATTTGTCTTGTAGTTACAGTACTTGGTGTTTTGCTTTCGTTACTCTTTGAGAAAGGGCTCTAACTCTGAAATCTTAAGACCTTGGAACTTTCTGAATCACTCGGTTTTATGTCTAGCCCTTAGGAGCACATACCAGGGTCAGTGAAGCACAGGGATTTAGTTACCAAACACCCATTAACCGTAATGGAATCACACAGCGAAGTCCCCACGCAGCACACTGAATATTTACCTCCTAATGTTCTTTTAATGTACGTTTTCTTGGGTGAATATTTACTGTAGAATATTAAATGTAAGATTCCTCTTTTTATGGGCCATTTGAAGTGATTGATTTTGTTTGTGCATTCCTGTATCTTTGCTCATAATGGCTATCTATTGTAATGGCCTCTACCAAATGTTCTTACATTGAAATAACAGACGCTATGGGTCGGCCAGCTGTGGCTTTGTATTACTGTGATCTTAAAAGCTACGGAGAATCTGATGACACAGCTGGGAAGAGACGAAAAGGTATATAACATAATGAGTCTGACTTGGGCTTCAAACATCATTGGATATTGAAATTACTGAGGTCTGTAAACAGGGTTCTGTAGTCATCTTTTCTATCAGAGTTGATGTTTAATGGTGTTGAATGGTGTTAGGATCATCGTGAAATGATAGTGGCAATTGTCCACAGTCAGGTTCATCAGCTTAGTTTATCAGAAATCTAGACATTTTCTTTGAATGCTATAATAAAGCCACACCCAAGTGGTGATAGTTTTTTCTACTTATTTACACCACATTTTTAAAGACATAAATTCACATACTCACATATTCTAGCTACTGTAGATTTGAATGATTTCCCATGAAGCCAGGAATTTCAGAGTTCCCTTTTTTCCCACTCTTTTGGTGTTTGAGAAGGAGAGCTTACTTAAAATGAAAGTGCTCTTATATGGTCAGTTTAAAAAATAAACAAAACTATAAAATCTAAAAATACACAGGCATATGAGATATTATAGGTTTGGTAATATAGCCACATATATGCATGTTCCAGCCTTTCCTAATTTCCATAAAACAAGACTTGTTAAAAGAGCAACATAATTTCTTCTAGAGGTTGATAAGGTGGCCTGTAAATCAATCATATAAAACTCATATTCTTTTTCATATGTTCATAAAGTATATACAGTGTGCTCAAAATCCGTGCTGCAAGAAGAGGTGGCACTAGAATAAAATCCTATAATATTAAAAAAAAGACAGACACTTCATTCACATTGGGGTTTAATAGTTGTAGCCACAACCTAATTATACCAGCTTTGCACTGACTATATAAATATCTGGACTGTTTGCATTTCAACAAAAGTACTCCTTATAATTAACAGTACTCATTAGTGCAAGGGAATGGGATATTAGTACTGTTTAAGGAAAAGGGAAAATGGTAATGTGAGAAACTTTTCATCACAAGTCAAGACAAGTAATGTAAAACGAACAAGGTCAATTTCCATATATAGTATTTGCTGGTGCCTTAAAATTTTTCATTAAAGAAATAAATGCCTCCTAAACCAGGTTTTGTAAAGAAAATATTGGTGTGTTTCTTTAAAAGACTATGTTTGAGCAATACTACTTGTTTTAAATGAAAATCTTTCAAACTAACTGATCTTGATTCCGAATAAAGTAAATCCTTCCTATACCTCCAAACCGTTTGCTACGAGTGAATCTGAATAGGATAAATGAGTGCATGATAGGATGATAGGAAGAGTGCATGATAGGATGATAGGAAATCTTATAGTTTCTTCTTATAGGCTCACAGAGGAGCAGTTCATTGCTTTTATAACTAGAAAATAACATGGATTCTATCCCCATCTCCGTGTGTGTGTGTGTGTGTGTCTGTCTGTCTGTCTATCTTTCTGTCTGTCTGTCTGTCTGCCTGTCTCTTGCGCAAGATATACCAGAAAGGCAGGGGAGTTGGGGTATACTTTAGCAAAAAGGAAATTAGTATGTGTTTAATCTCAAGAAAGAGCAAGGTATTAGGGGGATACAAAAGTACTCTAAAAGAAAATTACTCCTACAGTGGGAGCCCTGTCATTCTAATTGCAAAATCCTCAAATAAGTCAATGCAAGGCTCACAGAAATTTAGATTTGGAATGAAACTTTAAGCTCATCTGGAACAAGCTGTATTACAGAAGAGGAAACCACTGCTCAAGTAAAATGATCTACATCAATCATGACTAAAAGAAAACTATCTTTCAGCTTCTATTGTTAGTATGTCTTTGTTTTAATGACAAGTCTTTTGGTTTTCAGTTTTTCTCACTGATAGCATTTCTGCATATTGGGAAATGTCAGCGCTCTTCTTGAAGTCCGGGGGTTCAAAAATGCAACACAACATTTCCAAGCTAAACACAAATTGCATGCTAACAATGGGCATTGTGTACATAGTAACTCATTAACCTGACAGGATTAAAGAGTCAGAAGGATAAATTGCCACATAATCATAATCTATAAAAATACTGGCCTAGAGTACACTAAAAAACTGTCACTAAATAAATAGTGGGCATTTGTTTTATGAAAGTCAGTGATGATGTGCTCTTCAGAAATCAGGTCCATAGTTTTAGGCAGCTTTATACAAATCACACATACAGAGTCCAACAAATACAGTGGTTATAGCTCAGATTAGGATACAAGTTGATTAAAAAATTGTCTTTTGACACAGTACTTCTATAAAGGAATACAACCAATATTGAGTTGCTCATGTTTCAGTTTTGAAGGCAATACTTAAAGATATCCAAAAGGTATCTAGTGATGGCAGCATCACTAAAATGAGTGTGTGTTTCTTAAAATAATCCCCTTTGAAAGCAACAACACTCATTAGGGAGTATTAATTTTAGAATTTCCCCTTAAAAGCCAACTGCATTGGTTTGCAGTCATACTTCATAGACGTCTGTACATGGTACTTGAGAATTACCTGCTTCCAGTTCTGTTCTTCTTTTGTGTCTGGTGGCTCAGAAACAAGGCCCTGGGGTCTGATACAGTGGGTACTTGGGATTTTAGACTGGCACACTCAGAACACAGGTTTATTTTCAGGATGATTTATAGCAAGTGGTTCTGGTTTCCAGTCTGGTTGAAAAAAGTGAATATTGAATGTCCGTGCCCAGTTCTTAAAGACTCGTTTCTCTGTGATGAAGCGGTGATGACTTCCCTTCCGTCCTCGCTCATGGGAGAGGTACATTGTACATTCATCAGGTCCATAAGGTTCATAGTAGTGGTAAGGAACTGAAGGATGATTGGGATCCCTGTAGCAGGAAAATGAGAGAACTAATTATAGCAAAATAAACTGAAGCAAAAAATCTTTGAGGTAAGAAGTTACCTTGATCAGCTGAAAGACAAGAAAAATTCATACCATGATTCTTGATCAAGGTAAGAGGTTACCTTCATTAGCGTGAAAATCATATTTTCAAGTTAAATGAATCTCAACAAATTAGAGCGATAGCACAGCGGTAGGGCGTTTGCCTTGCACGCAGCCAACATGGTAGACCCGAGTTCGATTCCTCTGCCCCTCTCGGAGAGCCCGGCAAGCTACCGAGAGTATCTTGCCCGCACGGCAGAGCCTGGCAAGCTCCCCGTGACGTATTCGATATGCCAGACATAGTAACAACAAAGTCTCCAATGGAGACATTACTGGGCTCGCTCGAGCAAATCGATGATCAACGGGAGGGCCTTTACTTTACTTACTTTTTATGCCATTCTCCAGTGATGTTCCAGGGCTATTCCTTGCTTCATGCTCAGGGGACCCTATGGTGCTTGGAATGAGACTGAGGGCTCAAGCCTACAAACAAAGATTCACATCTGGATCTAAAGCAGACCTTTGAGTTATCTCTCAGGCTTCTCAACATTTTTTTTTTCAGATGTTTAAGAAATAACAAAGTGGACAAGTTCTGAGTTTGTGAAATAAATACAGTGGCCACCATTATCACATAAAAGGGTGCCCTCAGGATACTTAGATTTTGAGATTAGAAACTATCTGTTACAGTGACTGGAGAGATAATACAGTGGGTAGGGTCCTTACCTTGCTCTCGGCTGACCCGAGTTCCATCCCTGGTTCCCCATATGGTCTCTCAAACACCTATAGGATTAATCCCTGAGCTCAGACCCATGAGTAAACCCCAAACACCACTGAACTAAAGTTCTGTTTCCAATCCTGACATATTAGGGGCTGGAGAGATAGCATAGGAGGTAGGATGTTTGCCTTGCACGTGGCCGACCCGGGTTCAATTCCCAGCATCCCATATGGTCCCCTGAGCACCGCCAGGAGTAACTCCTGAGTGCAGAGCCAGGAGTAACCCCTGTGCATCACCAGATGTGACCCAAAAAAAAAATCCTGACCTGTTATAGTTTATTTATACAATTAGCTATATATATACATATAAGTAAGTATAGATATTTATACAAGTTTCTGTATATGTTTCCTTTTTTGACTTTGTATATATATTTGTATATATAAAATGTATATATTTGTATATAAAAATCAGAAAAAGCAAAGTATATATTTATATATACAAAGTATGTATTTGTGTATGTGTATATTACAATATGTATATATATATATATACACACACACACACACACACACACACACACACACATATATACAAAGCAAAAACTTGGAAACATTGTTCTTCATTCCAAAACCCAAACCTTTAGACTTTCAGTTATACTAAGAGGAAAGCTTATAGGGTGTTATATAATCTGGTTTGCTTCAGAGCCTTCACTTAACTCCTCAAACTTGTTCAATACTTGTTCCTACTCAGATTACCCAAGCTTATACCTACACTGGCGATAGATTCTAATGTATTATTGTCTTGCACTGGAGATCTACCTACTGCCCATTCCCATCAGTTCCTCCTACTCAGATTTATTTTCTTTCAAACATTAATTTCTCTCTGAAATTGCTGTTTATCACTTGCTTTGTGTCAGTTTACAAGGATGGGTGTTTGTTTTGTCCCTAGTCAATGGAAAGTAAGTAAATCTGCTTGTTGAAGGATGTTTTGGTGGGTTTAGGAAATACACAGAAAATCTCCGAGGATCATATCTCTGTCTCATATGGAAAGTTGATGATTTTTTTCAGGGTGTGTGTGTGGGGCAACACACCCCTGGAAAATCTCAGGAATTACTCCTGGCTCTGAATTTAGTAATTATTCCTGGCAGTGGTGGGGGTTGAGGGGTGGGAGGCGGGTATATGGGATGCTGGGGATCAAACCTGGATTGATTGCATGCAAAGAACCCTATCCACAGTACTATCACTCTGGCCTTTAAATTTGATAATCTTATGTTGATCCCATAGAAGGAAGATAGCAGGCATGATGCCATCATTTTGTTGTTGTTGTAGATGATGCACTCAAATCTAGTGCCTTCATTCCAAAAGTTCCATATCCTAATCCCTGATGTATAGCCTGACAGTCCTAATTTTTCTGTCTTTATAATCCTGTGGGCTTAAACAAGAGATGATCATTTCCTTAACGTAGTTTACAAAGGATAAACTTATTGTGGTGAGAGTGTGCTCCTGTTTTAAGACCTTTTTTAGTCTGGTTCTTAATGATGAGATTAAATCAAGATAGGCCCAATACAAACTTTCTTACCTGAGGCTCTTCTTATGACCCTGCCTTTTGCAGAGACTAAGCTATCGTAGTCACTTCTTTGTTCTTCTATTTAAAGTTTTTCCAGTTTCCTGCAGACATATTTCAGTGCCAGATACCCTAGGGTCCCCACTTTGGTCATTCAGACCCTAGTCTAAGTATGGGAACTTGGTTTCCCAAAGATGCTCATCCTGCTAGACACCTATGCGTTTTCTTCAGAGAAAATCAATACACAAATGGCTTTTAGAGTAGCAACTTTGCTGGGGTCAGAGATCGAAGTCTTTTATCAAGAGGGGTGTCAAGTTTGTGGCTCTGACAACAATAAACCTTTGAGCTGCCTCTCCTCTTAGGTTAAAGTTCTTCCAGGGAGAGAGATTTATTTTTTGTCATGTAGCATTTAAACATTCCTCATCCTGAGTTGGATGCTGTGCTGAATTAACACTTTGCATCTCTTTTATGCCTGACTCAAGGTACCTTTTGTTCATAGTGAAACAGTGGATTCTTCCCTGTTTCATTAATATAGATTTCACTTATTTACTTACCCTTGAAGTTGAAATTACTTTTAAAAAAAAGTCAATAGGTATTCTCAATACTGAAAATGCATGCATGTTAGGAAAACCTCAAGTGGGAACTGGATCACAATTAGGAAAAAGAAATACATAAAAATAAACAGAAAGTAGTGAGAGAAATCTAAGATTGATAAGGTGTTCTTTAGGAACCATGCCAAATTCACATGGCCATGGCATACTTGGGGTTAAGCTTTTATTCCAGCACAAATCAGGGTTTAAATCTGATTTGTCTAAGTTTTGCACATGTTATTGGCATCAATCTGACTAAAGAAACAATTAGGTTTCTAAAAATATCATGAAATTGATTTGACACCAAGGGACAGAGGGTAATTGGAAACCAGCTAAAGGATGTGATGGGATCAATTGCCTTATTCAGAAAGACTATCTCTTCAAATGAAAACTTATCTGGCTTCTTATTGATCACCTAAAGTGAGAATTAAATTTACGTATTTGGTTATTATGATTTCAAAGGTGTCCAAAAATCAGGGCAGTAGCTCAAAGGGCTGGTGTACATGCCAGCGTGCTGAGGCACCAAGTTTGATCTTGGGAACTACCTAAAGTCTAGCCTTGGTGACCCTCCTGCCCCAAGACTGCTGAGCCCAACCTTCAGTGCATCACTGGGAGTGCCCTGCCTTGAGCTTGAGATGTCTCTTTTAAGAAAAACAAAAGAGAAGGGAGCAATAGAGCAGTGGGCAAGGCACTTGCCTTGCATGCTACTGACTGAATTTGATCCCTGGCATTCCATATGGTCCACTGATCACCACTAGGAATGATTTCTAAGTGCAGAACCAGGCTTATGCCTACACTGGGGATCTCTTGAGCATCTCTGGGTATTGTCCAAAAAAACAAACAAATAAACACAAAAGGATTCTAAATGTCAGAATGGCAGAGAGATGCTTTGTGGATTTTGAGAAGGAAAAGAGGGAGAAAATTCAGGATCAGCCTCTAGGCTGTAAACTGCCATCAATCAGCTCTTCACTCAGGGAAAAAGTGTGCCTCCTGGGGGTATGATAACCAAAAGGCTATGTTCCAGAGTTTCTGCAGTCCGTCCTCAGCACTGCTAGGCCAATGTGGAAGCAAATCCTATAGAATTATGCAAAAGATAGTTTTTTCTTTATATAGAGAAGAAGACAGGGAGGTGAAAGAACAAACATGTAGTGCACATGGGGAGTTTTAAAGAAATAACACTCTTTATTACACCGTTATAGATTTTTGGTTTAAGCGGTTTGGAGAGGAAAGTGTCCCAAGTGTGGATATTTTTACCATACACCTTTAAGTTTGAATATGAAAAAAATAGTGGCAGAACTGGATTGTAAAACCCATACAATAAAGCCAAAATAAATATCCACGAGTTCATGAGGATTTCAATAAATAGCTGAATAGATAAACACACAAGGGAGAAGAAAAAAAGCATTTCCTTACAGAAGAATTCTAATTAGTAAATCTAGAAGGAATGAGGGAGTAGAAAGTTATCATTAGAACAGCACACGAATTGCAGTAGGCGAGACATACCAATAAATTGAGCATTCACAGGGGAGAGAATAAGGAGAAATAGGTTATTTGTGCAAAGTATCTTTCCCAAGATACTTATTAATGACAAAAAGAAAAATAGCAACTTTAAAATGAATTGACTGGCTAGACACCATCTTAACCAAGTGATTATGGTTAATAATGCCAGTTATTACTGATGTCTGATGTCTGCCACCTCTTGCTTGGAGACCTGAAAAAGGCTAATCATTTCTGTGACATCTTTTTCAGGAATGTCTGACCTTGGTCTAATTATGAGAAAATATAAGAAAACACAAAGGGAAATCTTATATAATAATATATTATATTAATGTATATTAACATACAATATCCTTAAAAGTTTCCAAGTCAAAAACAATGAGGAAAAAGCAAAGAATTGTCACCAATAGGGACAGACTAAGGATTCATGACTAAATGTTGGAGTAAACAAAAATCTTAAGTATAAAAGGTGATAAAATCTGAATGAAACCTTTAATTGACTGTGCCAGTGTCACGCTTTTATTTTTATTATTGCACTATAATTATTCAAAATGTGAGCATCTGTATGATGGGTCAGGAGCTCCA